GGGCCGCAGGGAGGAGGCTTACCCCCCCCCCCACAACCAGCTCACTCTAACTCAGCCACGAGCAGAGCTGGTCCCAGTGGCAGCAGAAACAGTGTCCTCTACTGTGACTGGCTTGCTCTGCTCCCACCAGAAGCAGAGCCAGTCTGAGTGGCAGCAGGAGGCACCAGGCACTCTGGGGCTGCAGTGCTTGCTCTGCTGGATGTGCTGGGGGGGAAGGGGAGGTGCTGTGCCTAGCTCCACTGTGCCCTGTGTCCCCGCTCGCCCTGACTCAGGAGGACCTACTGCTTCCTGAAATGCTGGAAGAATTCAATTTGTCGGAAAAGCCATGGAGAGGGGCCACAAATTAATGGAACCAGAGAAAAAAATAGGCAGATTAGAGGTAATCCTGCCCTGGAGTGCCATAATGTTAAACAGACTAACAAGTGCTGTGAGTCACTTAAAAGGTGTTCACATACAGCCAGCCCAGAGGTTAAGATCTCCAGAAGCCACATAAAATTACCATGCAACAAGGCCCTTAGTTCGTATTCAGGATAGACTTGATGACAACAGGCTGCCTAAACAAAGAAGTGCCAGTACTGTGAGCAGGGTAACTGGAATAGCAGCAACGTGTTTTTCAGCGGTAGCACAAACTTCAGAGGAACACCTGTTTTTTCCTATCTCCACCCAAATGTCCCCAAACAGAACAGAAACAAGAAAGCACTCTGAGCCAGATTCTTCTTTTGCCACACTGGGCTAAATCAAGAGTAACATTTCTGAAGTTAACTGGGTTCTGCTGCTATAAGCCAGGGGAGTCAGGACCCCTGGCTTTAAGGACATCTCTTGCCTGTCTGGTAGAGTCCCCCCGAAGAAACTTTGATTACTTAAGCCTCCCTGGCTGGTGTTCAGAGAGTTAAGGCAATGACCAGATAGCAGCCTTTTGGCACCAAGCTCCTCCTCAGCAGAAGGAAGGATATTGCTGTACGAACTGCCTGCTTAACAATGGCTCACATGTCCCTGGGGAACCGCCTGCAAATAGATTTCATCTTGCTTTCTCTTGTACTTTTCAAAGCTTCCTGTTTTCTCACGGTCCTTTTGGACAGTTTACAGTCTTTCTCCCGCTCCCTCTCTCTCTTTGAGGAAAGGAACACCCTTCTTATGAAGAAAAAAAAAAGGAGAGGAATGGAAGGGAAAGACCTCACAGCAGTGGCTTTTCTACCTCCCTGCAGGCTGCAGTTTTCTTTACCTTTTTCTTGTGGCAAAAGCAAACACCAGACTTTCCTATACATCTGCTAATCGCAGTGGTGCACAGACTATCTGGTGCTGGAGAGTAGCACATATTTGTGCCTCATGTTTCCTCACCCAGCTGCAGTTTGTAATCCCACTAAAGAGTGGAGATCTTTACAGCTTTTGCAAACCTAAACTGATGCTTCCTTGTTTAAAAAAAATACTGCAGTATCCTACAGCTGTTGCCCCGGATGCTGCAGCATTGCTACTAGAAGACATTAGGCTGCTTCAAGTGCAGCAAATAGGAGTTTTACCATTAGCACTGAAGTCTGTAGAATACACTGGCATCTTCTCTAGTGGTGCCAAGCACACTTAGTGGCAGCTAGTCTGGATTTCCTTGCTCTTCTGGGGATATAATCCTGAACAGCTTTGCTTTTGCTATTTTAGAACTGCAGATTGAACTAAGCTCACCTCTTTTCTGAAATCACTGCTCCCTCAAGTAAGGCCAGATCCTCCCAAAATGCCACTGAAATGAAATGAACCCTAAACCTTAAGGGTACCCTGGCTCATAGTACATGGAAACTATTTGAGTCTCCTTGCCCATTCTGTCCCTAGTTTGTACCAGTCTTTCAGACCACTGTTTCAAACCAGGAACCAATAACAGAATCAAAAGCTTTAAAAACTTTAAAAATTATTATTAAAAAGGCTGGACAGGATCTAGTGGCCAGGCTTTGGAAGATGGTGCTTTGTGCAATGAGTTATTACAGTATGATTGAATGGCTTGGCTAACTCAGCCTTCTGTAATTAAATGTTTTTAAGTCAGTGCATTGAGGCCCCTTAGCAGACACACAAGTTTAGTCCCCTTCTTTTACGATGTTGGCTGTAAATCTTAAATAAATCAGCCATTAATTAACAGTAAGAAGTTCCACATGTAGATCATATCTTTTCTTCAGCTCAGGATCTCTTACAGGTTTCACTCCACTCCAACTTTGCCTGGGAATTAAGAGTTTCTTTATTCCTTTCTGCTGGGGATTTCCTACAACAAACTGGCTTTTCCTCTTCAAACCTGCTTACTACAGAGATGCTCTCCCTAAAAGTTGACACCTTCTCTGTTCCCTACCCTCAATGTTCCCTGACCTGAAGATGCCATTTATATCCCAGCACATAACTCTTTAACACTGAGCAGCTTCCTCTGAGTTACAGTCTTATAGCATGTGACTTACGTGTTTTCACCTGGAAAGGTGGATTGAGCCTGACAGAGTACCACTGAGCCTTTTCCTCTGGAAGGGCTAGGGGAACCTGTAAGAGGTCCCTCAGTAGAACCATTCTGGAAAACCATTTTCCCTTCTTCATTTTATTTTCCTCTAACTCCTCTTTCTCAGGGAATTGTTTCCTTAATGTTGCATAAGAGGGATGGACTTTCCTAAGAGGGGCAGATGCACAGGTGTGAATGACCTAAGAGAATAGAAACCTTACCTTTGTTGTCCAGAGAATCAAATCTGAGCTGTGCTACATTTCAAGTCCTCTTATGTTTCCTTCAAAGAAAGTAAAATATAAACATGTGATACTTCCCAAAAAGGCTGTCACCAGATTTATTTTTACACCTTATAAAGGCACTGTGAACTACTTTATTTATTCAGACAGCTGTTCAACTTCATTTCTTTGGTTACCAGTATAGATGGACAGTTACAGGTATCAAATTGCCTACCACTAGTTAAAAGCTGACAGATGAAACAGAGTAGCCATGCTACAGACAGATAACCAAAAGACTTCTGCTATGAATGATGTTTAATAAAATTCATCAGTTCTTCTCTACACAGTGTTCTTTTATTCAGAGACCTACTGGCACATCATAGGCTGTTCCAGCTGCTGTTGAGATAGCAGCAGAGTTGGCATTGTCCTTTATGAATTTATTATGCTAGTCAGTACTTCTGTTCCTCTCCATTCCCCTCCCAATACATTTCATAGGATGCTTTTTGATGCACTGATTTCAGTGGTGATTGCTCACTAAATGTGAATAAGGGCAGAACTTGATCCTGCAGCCATATTTGATTGCACAGGTTTGTGAAGTCAAATGCTGTGGTTACTCCTGCATAAAAGGTTAGCAGAAATACACATTAAAAAAGCCCTAGATAACAATTGAGGAAAAGCCAATAAAAGCTTCTGCTTTTTATCTCAGTACTAGCAAACTCCCCATCAAGAATGACTGGGGGGGGAGCGGAGGGGTAAGCTTGCTAACTCTAACCCCTGTCTCCCTGCACTGCCACCACCTCCCAGGAGTGCGGGGGGGCGGGGAAGGGGGGCAGCTTGCCCTCCATCCCCCTCCACCAGCACCCTGTACCACTGCTACCTCCAAGGAACAGGGCCAGGGAGTGGGGTGAGGCCAGCACTGCTCCGCCCCCTCCATCCCTGCCATCACCTGACTCCCAGTTATCTTTCCTGCTGGGTGCAGGGAGCTGGACCTGAGGATTTTCTGAGGTCCCTTCTGGCCTTACAATCCATGAATCTAATCTATGAATCTATGGCAGTGCTCCAGCACGCTGCCACCACCACCACCACCTCCTGTCTGTAATCCTTTTGGAGCACTGATTGGTTGTTTCAGTACCCAGAGTGCTCCAAGAGCATTACAGACAGACAGACCAACTAAGTCCTTTATTATATTAGAATATCATCACTTCTATATATTGTATGTTGTGAACAGGATCAAGTAATTAGTTTGAAACTATTCAGTTGATGAAAATAACTTTTGCTTCGTTTTCTTTTTGCGAATTCTTAAATTTAGACATCTGAAATTTCCTATGATTTTTTCAAATACTGCCAATCTGATAATTTTGTATTAGCTGTTTGTTTCAAATGTTCAACAGTCAAAAATGGAAATAAATCATTAGGCCAGTTAACTTTATCTGGCTACAGAGGCTATGTAGTCCTGTTTTCAAATTGCGTAGCTCTTATAATCAAGAGTTTTGTGTGCATAGTTACATGCATAAATTAATTACTCTTTTTCTGTGACACTGAAGTTTTTACTTAAAATTGGCTTTTCCTGTGAATCCTTTTCCCATAAGTTTATTTGTTAGAATATTAAGACAAAAACAATCACAAAGAGGAGACAAACACCCAAATCATTTAAGAATTCAGGTGAATACATGAAGAACTTTTCTGTACTATTCACCCAGCTCTAGCTATCTGTCAATCTCTGCAAGCTTTTACCCTAGTTACCTGCATTCTGCTCCTCTTATGAACATTTGTATGAAACACAATATGGTGGTATTCTACCCAAGATTAGGCCAAAATGTTAGGTCATCCCCTCCAATGACATGCTTGGATAGATAGCTCTGTAAATTTGAATTAGCCCTTAATAATAGCATAGTAGATTTGCAAAATGTCGTAAATATCAAAATCAGAATAAGATAAAACCAAAATTTTGCATTTAAATTCAGTGAAATCTTAATGAATACACTGTCAACATTTTCTATTTCTATTACAAATATTGGAGAAAATAGTTTCTTTAGGTATGGAAGAATGGTGAGGTCATGTAACATGAAGACTCCGATTAAATAACTCTATTAGAAAAGTATTTAACTAAAATTTTTCCAGAAAGGAGTTAAAATGTAGAGGTTCTACAACTCATGAAAACATTATTGGTTGGGAAAGACACCAAGTTGAAAGGAATAAGTACATTTATAATTCCTAATAAGAGTGTTATCAATTCAGTTGTGTAAATCCAGATAAGGTTATCAAACTTCAGTGTCCTTGAGAGTATTCCTTTGTAGGAGAAGAGACAATAAAAGGAGACTTATAGGGGGAAAAAAAGAAAATGTATTGTCTTATCTAAGGGAAACCTACTGAGTCAGTGGCTTGAGCTGACAAGCATGCAATAGGGAAGTCTGAGTCACTAATGTAGCCTCAGGACTGTCTAAACTCCAGCTTACTCATCACAGGCACAAAAATACAAGTAGTAGTCAGAAAAGGAGCAGATTAGAGGAAAACTAGGAAAAAAAGGAATTGCTTGTTCTATCTTTAACCTTAAAAATTCTGTCATCTCAAGTCAAGTAAAGGGGAAGTTATAATCTTGATAAGTGTTCCATAGGTTCCTTTTCCCCATCTGATCTTTCATCTAAAGGTCTTCCTACCCCTTTTCAATAGGGCATTGCTCTTGATTAAAGTCTAGATTTAAAAAACAGAAAGTGTAACACTTCCCAGAGACGAGCCTATGAACTCCATTTCATCAACCTCCTGGATACTAGAGATCATGGACTAAATATAGACATTGGATTTTTGACACATTATAATCTGCCTGGCATCTGATTCCCAGCCCAGCCCAGCTCCTGGCTTGTTTACTTTTCATTCCATCCAGGAAGAGCACACACCAACTGCTGAAATTTCCTTAGCCTGACGAAGGGTTTTTGAACCTGAAAGCTTGCTTAATAACTATTCTCCAACTATTTCGGTTGGTCTAATAAAAGATATCAAATTCACGCAAGGAACCTTGTCTGCCTATGGCCTAGCTCAGTGATTTTCAACCTTTTTTCATTTGTGGACCCCTAAAAATTTTTGACTGGAGGTACAGACCCCTTTGAATTGTAAATGTGGGTATTCACATACTTTAGATTGATCATAGTTGTCTTTGGCAGGTTACTTAGACATAGTCTGCAGACCCCCAAGGGTCCGCAAAACACAGATTGAAAACCATTAGCCTAGCTGAACAGAAATGTGTTACTTGTGACTTGTTTAAAGTTAAGAGCATGACAGGTTATAGCATTAACCCTCTTACTTTCTTCGGATGACTTCACCAGTTTTGAAGGGCCCTGGATTTTGAGTCTGCCATAAGTCACTGGAAACTTAAAGTGTAGCTGTGTAAGTGTCTGGACAGAATAACCCCAACCACATTGGTCCAGTACTGGGGTATTTTGGATGCAATTCACCATGATAAAATGCAGTGAGAAGCTGTTGGGCGCAGTACATTCTCATCTCATGAAGTGGGGATTGTATTTACCTTTAAAGTGTTCTTCTTGTCGGTATATCTACAAAATAAATCATTTTAATTTCCATTGTTTTTGACAGCTTTGTGGAAAGGAATTTAACAGAATGCACAATTTAATGGGACACATGCACTTACACTCAGACAGCAAACCTTTCAAGTGTCTCTATTGTCCCAGCAAATTCACCTTGAAGGGAAATCTCACCAGGCACATGAAAGTCAAACATGGGGTCATGGAAAGAGGATTTCATTCTCAAGGTAATCATTAGCAACACAGTTATTTTTGCAGCAGTTTGAATGCACATGACAAACACTCTAAAGAGTAACAGGAATCTGAAAACATAGACATTTCCTCTGTTAATAATATTGGAAGTGACTAAAACTCATAATGTTGGGAGATTATTTTTCAATTATTATTTTATTACTAATACACCTAGTTTTTGCCTGTGGGGTCCTTGCCTATGACAAAGGCTCGGTGTCTTATAAACACAGGACAAAAAATGGTCCTTGACTCAAAGAGCTTTCAATTTCACTGAAAGACAAGAGGAAACAAACAGAGAGAGGAGAGAAGCACAAGGAAACACCAAGACAGCATTGGTCAGCCTGAGGAGCAGTGTGTCAGCACACCAGCAACTTAGCAATGGACAAGGTTTTTGTAAGCACCAAGGAAAAGGGAAGCGTTAAGGAGGATTTTGAAGGAGGACAGGAATTTTTTAGTATGAGAACAGAAATTTATCAAACACTGGCCCAGCCTGATCTGTGACTGCTCCCTATTCTCCACCACTTTGGGGAAGGTGAGCTTCCTTCCATCTACAGAGCAGTGGAATTTCTCTTGAAATGCCTGGATGCATTTGAGGCTCAAATGAGAGAGAGTTGGTTATGATTCAATCTTGCTAAAACCAAGGCAATTATTGTGGGCTGGGAAATAATTAGAGAACGTGGCTAGGATTACACTGACCCTCCTGACTGAGAGTGTAGTTTCATTATTTTAAAATAATTTTTACAACTTAATTTGGTTAGATTTCCACAGAATAGCAGAGCTAACCTGGAGGACTTTGCTCCAACTGCATTTGGTCAGGAAATTGTTATTTTTTTCTGGTCTTTATAACAGTCCCTCCCTTTATCACCTCTTGGTGGTCATCTGTGAAGATCTATACAGGGCAACACATTTAAAGCAGTTGCCAAATAAGGCAGATCACATGTTGGGCGTCTCACTGGGAGCATGTAGCTCTAGGGCTCCATAATTCTTTCTGGTTTGCTCATTGGTTTCCAATGTGTTTGGTTTGACCTAAAAAGTAATTAATTCCTGACCAATTGCCTCTTTTGTGCTGTACTGACACAATTTAGAAAGGGAAACTCTAGAGCTCGCTTAGATTATGAGAAGTAAGCATTCATGAGTGTTTTCCCTATTGAATGCCACATGACTTCAAAATCCATTCATTTCCCTCATCCAAAAGCACCTGAGTTTGTGGTTGTTTCTTCAAACAGAGTCAGCATATCAGAGAAGGAGATACTGTTAGGTTGGATTTTCTTGATAGCTGGCAATTCTATGCTGGGTGAGATCTATCAGTGTTCATGGATACATATTTCCTATATACTAGAGGGTGATATACATGATCTATCATTGTGTAAGATGAAAAAAAGAAAGGATCCTGATATATAACAATTTAGATGAACGTATATTTACAAATCAAGATGTGGGCATTTGTGAGTTTTGGGGGTTTTTTGGGAATGTGTTTTTTAACACAGTGGATCTTAGGCTAGTTACACAATTGTTCATAAGTAAAAGCAGGCTGTGTACATTTTATTGTAAACAGATTTTCCTGCTCCTAAGGCTTGTTTGATCAAGACAGATTGTTTGTAAGCAGAGACAGATCCAGAGGGGAGGTGCAGTGGCACAGATGCACCAGCCTTTCAGTTGACGCTGTGGGAGCAGCAGTTGGGGATGTAATTTCAGGTCCCTCAGGGGCACATCCCATCCTCATATCCCCCTCCCGCACCCACCCCACTATTGATGTCCCCAGCTGCCTCTGGGACAGGGAAGCTCTAGAGCTGCTCTTGTTCGGCTTCGGCTGGGTTATATAGAAAGCCAGGGGCATGCTGGGCCAGCAGGCAGCTTTATCCTCTCTGCACAGTCCCCTTAGTGTTTCGTGCCAGCCTATGAACAGGCATGGGGAAGGGGAACCAGTCTGCTGCCACTTCTGCAGCAGGACAGGAGTGGCTCTGGAGCTTCCTCTCCACACCCTGGATCATCTGGGAAATGGGGGACAGCAGCAGCAGCAGCAGCAAGTGAAAAAGGGGAAATGGAAGAGAAGGAGAGGGGATGTGCCACTGAGGATGGAGGGGATGGGATGGGGGACTGAGAGGATGGAGGGAACATTTTTATCTGATTGGGGGGACTTAAAAGTCCTTGTCTGCTGCTCCCATAGGGGGTGGAACTGAAAGCAGGGCTGCAGCCACCCTTGCAGCACCAAACGCTGCTCCCACACCCTCCTTAACAAAATCCTGGATCTGCCTCTGTTTGGAAGGGTGGCTATCTGGTGAGAAATCCTTTCAACAATAACTTGTCACACCATCATAGTATCATAGTGCTTAGGGTTGGAAGGGACCTAAACAGATCATCAGGTCTGACCCCCTGCCCCGGGCAGGAATGGGTGCCAGGGTCATATCACCCCAGCCAAGTATCTGTTCAGCCTCCTCTTGAAGACCCTCAAGGTAGAAGAGAGTACCACCTCACTTGGGAGCCCATTCCAGAGCCTGGCAGCCCTACCAGCTGTAACAATAGAGACTGCATCAGTTGTTCAGAAGTTGTTGCTAGTTATTAAAGAAATAAAACCCAATGAATGAAATGCTGGCCCCCATGAAGTCAGTGGGAGTTTGCTATTGAACTCAGTGGCTGCATCTACACGTGAGCTTTACTGCAGAGCAGACTAATTAGCTTCAGAGTAAAGTATTACCATACTACACGTGTGGTGGTATTAGACTGTGGTAATTTAGTACTGTCCCTGACAGTACTATCTTATGCCAGGGTAATTTACTACAATTAAACATACATGTAGACACTGACCTTAGGCATAAATTTTGTCTAGGCAGTCCAGCTAGCCAGGGGCCAGGCTACTCCCTGCACCTTTGTGCCCCTGCCAGCCCCTCTGCTGCCCAGTGCTGCCACCCAGAGCTGGACCTGACCCCCACGTGCCCTCTACCAACCCAGGCCTGCTCCATCCCATCTCAAATTGCTGCTGCCCCAGGCACATGTGTAGACACTGTGCCCAGGAGTAGTTTACTCTGGCACAAACTACTCTGAAGTTTATTGCTTTGCATTAATTGCACATGTAGATGCACCCAGTGATACAAGAATTTCACCCAGTGAAGGGACCCAATCAATAGGATCTCCAGATTTGAGTTTCTTTGATAGTTGAATCTTTTATTTTTCAATAAGCATAAGGAGAAATACACAGAGCAGATACTTAGGCAATACTGAGAGAAACACCAGTAAAAGGAGAAAAAACTCCAGCTGATAGGCCACAGTTCAAATGCATCATTTGACTATAACCATTTCCCAAACAACTAGATGAAAACAGAACAGTGCACAGCAACTTACTAGTGACACTCAGTGAGGACAATCAAATGATATAGAGAGGCCATGTATTAGGTATTTAGAAATGAATGTATCCTCCCCGTCACGCTACTGCAACCAGAACATTCATAAAATGTGGTAAAAAGATTAAAAATGTGTCATTTGCCCTGCAAGAAGGAGCGAATGTCACAATGTTGGTTGGCTGTGGGATAATCAATATCAAAGCATAGAAAAAAAATAAAGGGAAAGAAAGTGGATGCGCCTTATGGCAAAAGTAGGTAACTCAAAATAGATCTCTTTGCTTTTCTATCATTGTCACTGAGCATTTTTGACATGTTCACCAAATTATTTTGTGCCTCCCTTTCTCCACTTGTAAAATGGGCACAAAAAAAAAAGAAAAGGTATACTACAGTAATTAACAGCAGTGTTTGAGATTTTTAAGCGCTTGTTCTTTTAAACCACTATAAGGTTTTGGAAGAGGAAGAATTACACTGTCCCAAGCAAGTGTCTTGAGAAGCTTGGAACAGGAAGAGCCTTTCGATCTTTCCCAGAAAAGCCAAGGGAAAGGAATTTCTTTTCATTCTGATGGTGAGAGTGCCAAGGGAAGCTCATGTCAGGAGGAGGAAGAAGACAACTGCTACGAAGCAGAGCAGTACAGTCCTGGCATGTACCATGACGACAACAGCAAGCTGTATACACCTCAAGATCTGTCTGGCAAACCAGAATGTATAATGAAAGATTTCAGGGAGTCTTACTGTGATGAGAAGGAGGAAATACTGAGCGAGGGAGGAGTGGAAAAGAAGAAAGGAAATCCAGACAGAGAAGAAAACCAAGGAAAGAGAAACTTTTCAAACAACAAAGAATGCATGAGCTTTAAACCCTTTGAAAAGACCAGATTCAGTCATTCTCTGTCTGATTATCTTTACTTCAAACACAGAAACAAGAGTTTAAAAGAACTACTGGAAAGGAAAATGGAAAAACAAGCAATGTTTATAAGCATCTAAATGGGCCACTTAAGTTATAACTGGAAACAGGAAGTAGGCAGCTCAAATATTATAGTTTTAACATGAACTTTACCAAAGAGTGACAGTTTGTAATGGTCTTTGAGGATCAACCAGATCAAATCAATACAGATAATTTGAGGTAAACATGTAGATAACCTGTTGCATTTCTTTGTGTCATTGGACTGCTTTATTTTTCTAAGGTAAACTAACATTTTTATACATATCGTTTAATGTATCAGCAGACCATAAGGTGGGTACAGAGGTTTTATTTTCCTTTGTCTAGGACAATAGAGAATATTCCAGTTACCAAAACACAATGTACTGTAGTGTTTGATGTATTATATGTCTAAGGAACATGTAAAAACACTTATTACTGTAGATGTCACAAGATCAGAAGATAATAAGTATTTTTTAAATATATGCAAAAGTATTGCTAAATATGTATGCATGAAAATACTGCCTGCCATGCAATCTCAGAACTAACACCAAGAAGTTTTGAGTTACTGAAAATGACTACTTTAATATAGCTGTTTGCAGTGGGGAATGGGAAACAATATAAAAGGAAACTTGAATGTCTTGTCAGATGGAGAATAACAGCTTTATAAAGCACAGCCCAGTTAAAGTCCTGGGATTGCTTCAGGTAACACAAGCTTTTATGACACGCGGGATCTTGATGCTTTTCTGCACTTCTGTCAATATGGGAGAACTTATCAATTCTTCAAATGAAAGTGCTTGGACTGAGCTGACATTTTATGTCATTGTTCATGCAGACCAGTACACTTGAGCAGCAGCACACATTACATTTGCTATAATTGTGCATAAACAATAAGAGTGAGAGAGAATTCATTTCATTGAGGGAATGATGATTAAATTGTGGTCAGTTGTCTATGAGCTTGAGCTGGAAGGGCAGTGATAATTTGAAATTCAATATACAACTGGTTTTGTTTTAGTAGAATCAGTGTCAAACAAAACAGCCCTCCCTGCACCAGAACACCCCATAGAAAGTAATGACAACTTCCTGTAGTTTAAATCACCTTCTATTGGACTCACAAATTGTTTCTCATTAATGCAAGTGACCTATAGGATCCAATCTTTACACATAATTAATAGAAAATAGAGTTTCACTCATGCTGTTCTTTATGAGTCAGTCTCTCAAATTTTCATCCTCTGACTCACATCTTATTTTATGTTACTGGGCAGGGAGCATTTATTTTTAATTAGTGCCATTACGTTGTCATTGAGTATTTATGTGGAACACTTAGAACTACTGGTCCTTTTCTCTGCCCACTAGAAACAAGTTGTTCAAAGCACATTCCTTCCAACATATAATTTGTTTGACCACTGCCCGGATTCCTGCATCTTCAAGATTTATAACAAACAGCCCCAGGCTACATTGTTACTTAAAAGGGAAGTGATAAAGTCTTAATACCTGGTTGATTAATTTCTTGTGTCATTTTAAGATCCTGAATTGATAAGTAAACATGTGCTAAGATTTTATTTACAGGTACATAATATATTGAAAACAATTTCATTTTTTATGTACCTGACACATCCTTAATTTTGAACTCTGTGCACCATGCAATAAAGGAGGTCTACAGCATAGGAATTTGATATGATACACACTTATTTTATATAAATCATATATTTATGTGTTGTTAGGTTTAGAGACCTGTTACTTCTGCTTCAAAATCTCAGCCATCTACCACTCAGGAAAATCCCCCTTGGGTTACATAAGTCATGGTTCTCGTACCCTTTCTCTGAGCATGCTATTACATGGCAATATCACCCATTTGTAGGCACATGCAGACAATCTGCAGCAGGAAGTGTGCGGTGGTGTCTGTTCACCTTCCAAACAGGGGACACAACATGAAACACAGACCCTGAATAAGTGGCACAAAAATATGGCTCTTACAGGACACTTAAGGAGATGGGGTTTATTTCTAGTGGCATTTTTAGAATAAATGCCAGGTTACACTGCATTTGTTTGAACTGTAGGTAATTTTAGGACTATAATGTATGACATTCCTCAAAATGAGGTATGTTTGAAAGGCATGAGGTATGGCATTTTATGGTAGGTCCAGGCCATTTTGTCAAATGCATTTAGTTTCTGCATTATTTCCAACAAGAGACTACCCATCCCAGTAGTTGTATTATAAAACAGACCTTGTTCTTCAGTATCTATTTTGCGATCAGGCAGCAGACACAATGGACAAAGGAAAGGGCTTGGGCATCAGGAAACCTGGATGATATCTCAGGGTCTGCCACCAAATTGCCGAGTCACATTGGGCTTGTTGCTTCATCCTCATGCCACAGATTTCCCTTCGAAGTGGGAAGTCGTCTCCTTTGTAATATACTTTGAAATCTATGAGTAAAAAGAGCAAACAGAGTTAAGCAGAAGGTAGGGCAGAGTAGCACCATAGAAACTAGAAGGTTTAGAGCAGAGCTTTCCAAACTGTGCCACGACACATTAGTTTGTCGGCGGCAGTGTGTAGGTGTGTCGCGCGAAATGCAGAAAATTTTGTGGAAGGGCACCGCGGAGCTCCCTTACTCGCGTCTGCTTCCCTTGGCCCCTCCCCCGGAACTGAATTACTGTGTCGTGAAATGATGCAGGTCTAAAAAGTGTGTCACCAACATGCAAAGTTTGGAAAGCTCTGGTTTAGAGGGACATGAGCATTCATTAAGTAACAACCTCCTTTGTCAGATGCTATGTGAAAAGCTAGGTCACATTATTTTGTGATAAGAGAAGTGAAGGGCAGGTCTGCACTGCTTCCAACAGTGCTGGGGGGCATCACAATGAAGTATGCACTACAGCTTCTAGAGGCATACTAGAGCTGGTGGACAACACTTGCATGTGCTCAGCACCACTGCTAAGCTTTCTGCTGCAGGGTTAGGACCACTCTAATATCAGCTACATTACATGTTTTCGCACCTTCCACACACTGAGTGGGAGCAAGCAAGCAGAGCCTACTTCATGGTGATGCTCCTAGGTGTGACATGGAGGCAATGCAGATGTCCCCAATCATTCATGTGACAAAGTATCCCAGTCAAAAGACACAAATCAACATATACTCCCTCAACAGAAGCTTGTGCTAGAAGGTTTTCAAGGGTTTAGTATTCACAATCACCTGGACTTTTCAAAACAGCTCAGCTCCCACTTAGGCACCAAAGTGGCTAGATGTTCAGAAGTGCTCACTAGGGTGCAGATGTTTTTTTAAAATCCTGGCTTCAGGTGGGGGTGCTGCACACTTGAAAATCTGGATATATGAGCACAGTTAATCAGGTCTTATCCTTGTGGGTAGCCAGTGGAAAAGCTGTGGCACAATTACATGGTATTCAGAATTCCTTTATTGATATTAGGGAGTCTTCGGTGAAGTGAGTGAGTGCAAATATATTATTTTGCCTAGACAGGTAACCCAAAGCTTTTAACCACACATTTGCAGAGATTAACTCTACCCTGTTATATGATCCCCTCTTACCCTTAGAGCAATAGCAACAGCCATCACATACAATGCTGTAGCAGAAAGGAAGAGGTAGTCATAGATGGTATGAAGGGGAGTGTGGTCCTCTAAAACAGAGGTGTTCAACCCCCAGTCCACAGGCTGGATCTGGCCCACAGAGCTATGCTATCCAGCCTACAGTGGACGCCATGGGCCTGAAAATTTAGCAGTGTGGAAGTGGTGGCACCAGTTATGCTCCCCTACTGCCATATTTCTAAATCCATTGTGTGGAGGTGACCCAGGGTCCTATCTGGGCACACATGCTAGCTGACAGTGGTACAAGGCCCAATTCAGCAGGTGGTACATGCCCCAGGGATATAGCGCAGGGCCCCAATCTGGCAGTGCAGGCCCTAGGGAGATGGCACAGGACTGAGGGAAGAGATGTGAGCCCCAGGGAAGCAGGATGTGGCCCCAACCTGGCAGTGTGGGGCCAAGGGAAACAGCACTGGGCCCTAATCTGGCAGCACAGAGCTGCTAGAGATGGTACAGGGCCCCAATCCGTGGGTATGGGGCAAAAAGAGTTTGTGTGGGGACCCAATCCTGGTGCATGTGGTCCATTCCGGCCCATGGACCAGCCCCATGCCACTCATCTGGCTCACAGCCCCAAGAGGTTAAGTACCACTGCTCTACATCTATGAAATCGCAACACGTCAATGGAATCACAAACTACACCGTCACTGAGATAGAACAATGGCAAAAAGCAACATAGGCAAAGGGATTCCCAAATGACTCTCTGTCCAGAGGCACCTTCCCATCTCAGAAGATAGTGTAGCTGAGAGACCTGTTACACAGAAACCTCAAGGACACATTTCAGGATGGGACATCAATCTTTATTGAGAAATGTGTTGTTCTTCTATTATAGTTTTCTTCACATTATTTAAGCTGCTATTTTTTTAGGATAGTCCTTAAGGGCTTTTGCTTTTTACAGCTCTGCAAAATTCCTTGTAGAATTATAAACTGCATTGATGACTAAGTTCTTCTCCCATTATCATTAGTGCATGCTCAGTTTTGATTTTCTGCTCTGCCACAGAACTTCTCTAGGATTATACTACAAAGGAGACATTGAGGCCTTGGGGGAAGTGGCACAGAACATTTTGCTTTATTAACCATAACCTTTCTAATGTTTTAGTGATTTTTAAAAAAAATGTTTTAGAGGGTGACATTGTTTTTCATCTACAAGACTCCCTCGTACTCCCTGAAGTGACATTTTGGCACAACGGTTAAAATTAAGTCCAGTTAGGTCAGTACTGTTGACTTTGTTCAAGTTACAGAATTTGATTCTCCCATTTGGAACTGCTTAGTGACAAATAGAAAATGTACACAAATTTCTTTGAATGAAATTATTTCTTTAGGGAGCTCCATAGAAGCCTAGTGAAGGCCAGTCAATCTGCAAAGACATGACAGTGGGCAGTGGAAGGGGTCAGCATCTACATGGGTAAGACTTTACTATCAGGGCAGCACTGGGATGCCAAGTAGCATTCTGCAAGGTACTGTACAGAGCAGAGTAAACAAGTAAGAAATGTAAAGGAATTACTAATCAAATCCAAGGATTGAGACACACACAGCACATTCTTCAAGAAATCAGAGTTGTCAATAATTTGCTGTTCCCTAAAGAAAAAAACATACTGAGTTTTGCCTCAGAGAATCTGGCTACCTTTTAGTTGGCCTCAGTTCTACTGACTGTTGAACACTGCTTATGAAGTGCTCACCCTGATGTAAATGGCAGCTGCTAATGGTCAGTCTTGCAGCAAGCATGTAATGTCTCAAAAGAGTAAGCCCTTGATGAGCATTTTATAAAAGGTTATTGCAATTTGCTTCCTGTGTTTTATCACATGCAATTTGTAGCTTGTTTATCAGAAAAACCAAGTAATCTTTCGATGCTGCCACCATGCTCCTCCTTTTAGAGGTCTGTTTCTTAATCTTACTATTAACATGGTGCTGTTGTACGTGGGTGTAGCTGGTGTACAGTTAAGAAGTGTAATATATGTATTTTATTTATTATGCCAAATAGTATTTAATAAGTATTAACATGGTTTTGATGATAACTTGTGTCTACTTAGCTGAACAAGATGTAACAGAGCTAACACTTTGTAACCTTAACAGAATTTGAAAGCATTGCAGTGGATGTTTATTTCATACAGAATGATGGTTTGCTATTAAACATTAAAACTCTGAAAGAGGGAGAAAATCTAAGTTGTGAAGGTTCAGTTTTCAGCTGTGTATCTTGATAGCAAAAGCAGTTCACTCGAAGATAACATGTAAAAATGTGTTTTGTTAATTTAAGCAAATAAAGATATAGTGAAGATACCGCTGTAGTTCTTCTTAAATTGACCAGCACATCTTTACTCCCTAGTTAGTGCTATATGATAACACACACACACACACACACACACACACACACACACACACACACACACACACACACACAATGGATGAGCGCTGCTTTCTTCAACTGTGACGGAACATCATGGTTATACAGCAGTTCCTTGAAGGACTAGTGGAGAGGTAACTGGAGCATCTGAAGGAACCTGGAGGGCTCTTTTGGTAGGACCTTTTATCACAGATTACATGGAGTACATGTTGGGGAGGTAGTGCGGGGGGAGAGGACATTACTCCAGGTTGTTTCATCTATAGTATTACTTGTTCAGCCCTGTTCAAGATACAAAAACAAAACAAACAAACAAAAAAAGACTCAATTCTCATGTCAAGCAATTTTGGACCAAAGGCTGCCATACTATAAAGACTGAAAAAGGTGCTTTAAAGGCTACAATTCCTTTAGTTAGATTTTGTTTAGTTTTATTTTTTTGTTTGTTTGGTTGGTTGGTTTTTATAATGGGACAGTGACAGTATTTTCCAAGTAGGTTTGACTTTGGCAGGTGTTGCACAGCAGTTTGAAAGGAAGGAGAGGGCAGTTGGCCTACTGGATACAGAGGAAATATAAATAATGAAGGAAATCAACACGGTCCATGACAACTGCCAGTAGAATAGGTCTGTGTGGCGTTTCAGGGATCTAAACTACTTTAAAATGCATAACGGAGCTTGTGTGCGCAGCTCCCAATAATATAAATCCAGAGATCTCATGGATCAGAAGCAAAGCTTTTAGTTGCTTGTTTTTTTGATTGCAGATAACAACAGCTATGAACATTATAAGCTTATTCTGCATATGGAGGAAGATATGCCTCTCTGATAGCCAGGGAGTGACCTTGTTCATTCCCAAGTGGCTCAGTATCAGTGGCTCTCAACATTTCCTCTTTGCTAGATGCAACAATATATTTTAGAAAAAATGATGGTTGGCCCTTTTCACAATTTTCCTTTTCATTTTTGTTGAAAACTGAACTGTGTTCACTTGAGTCTTCAAACAAACAAAGAGGAAGTAGAAGAGAAAGGATCTTTCTTAGATTCCCCCATGGGGTTGTTGTGTTTGCAATGAAGTGTGGGAAAAGTCCTGGTGTATCTATGGTATTGTCATGTAGCACCAGACATTGTCAGATTAACACAGTCTTTATGACAAAAAAAAAAAAAAAAAAAAGGGGGGGGGGGGGAAGTAATAGGGAAACTTAAGTAGGAAAAATTAAGTGCATTTGTTGACTAAATTATAGTTAAAGCAAAATATCTTCATTTTCAATCAAGATGCCACTACCATTACAATTTATATAGGATCTAAATAGATCAAAATCTTTACCCATGTGTAAAACATGAATATACAGTGCAGATTCAAATATAGCTGCATATTTTTATGCATTGACTCTGGGTGTGAACATTTTCCAAAATTTGGTCTAAAGTATATTTGAACATCAGCAACCTCAGAGCTCAATAGAGATAACTGGGATATTTCCAACTACATAAAAGCACATGACCACAGTCCACAAACCTTTCAAATGATAGTCCTCCCAAAGTCACAATTGGAAAGGTAGTATTTACCTTTTCATCTCCCTCATTCTACTGATTACATGCATGAAATGTATTGCCTGTCCAACACAGGGCTGAAGGCTGCGAAGTGTGATGCTATACTGCAACATTTCAGGGCTCTATGGAATTCACAGAGGGTCTGCCCATATAAAGTAACTGCCTGGATCAAGACCAAGATATTTAAAGGGACACATTCTCTGCTAACTTGAACTAGCACACCTCCACTGCATCCACTGGGGTTGTGCCAACTTTCAATCCTTGTTCCTAGCTCCTTGGAACAGATCCCGTCTCTTCTGTAACATATGAGACACACCCCAGGCACTTATATAAGTGCCTTTATAATAAAGAACACAATGTTTTCTTGCTATATTTACAATTTTAAACAATTTGGAAGCCTACCCGTGTCCCAAATCACTTACCTGCAGGAGCTGCTCTCCAGGCTGCCTGGCAGCCATGTGCATATATACATGCACATGGTGCCCTCTGCCTGACTGCCCTCCCCCAGCTCCCTCCCAACCCCTTGCAGGCTCAAATTGTGCCAGGCTGCAGAGAGCTCTTTACAAAACTGCAAAATCCGTGTGTTTCTCTGTCAAAATGAAACATCTGTTTTCCTCAGGTAAAGGGGGAAATCCGCATTTTTTTCCGCATTTTCCCATGGGAAGTAAAAAACCCAGATCCCTGATGATAAGCAAAGTTTTTATACACAGGAAGCCACCATGTATTTTAATAGTGGTGAAACCAGTAACATAAGAAATTCTCTAAAGGGCATGAAGATTGGAGTGACTAGAGGAAGACAATATCTGCAAACTCATAAAGACAAAAAGAACTCTAACAAAGTTATATTCTATAGAGTTCAACATTCAGTGCTTAATCTCTACAAACTTCTACAAGAGTTTTCCATATAACAATATAGTTATCTGGCAAAGATCATTTTTTCAGTGAGCACAGAGTATGAAAGAGCATAAAATGTATGAGAGAATCAACTCCAACCATTCAAAGGAATATAATGAAACCTGACAACAATGACAGAGTCCTGCTGTGAAGAAAGTGACAGTAAAATTGAAACAGGATTATGCGTCATATTTGGATTTCTATTAAAGTGACACTGAAGTAAGCAGTGTACAAGATAACATTAGTTTAAGATGGACTGTAAATGTTAGCCAGGAACTGAGATTACCCTAGTCCCTACTGAAGGCAAGACATTTAAATGTTGTTATCTCCCAGTTTAAATAGTAGTAGAACATGATTCACTGTGGTCCTGATTCAGCAAAGAAGTTAAGTGTGTGCCATACTGATATATACAAGTAGTAGCAACTAGTAGTCACATGCTGAAATTTAAATGTGTGTTTAAGGTTCTTGCTGAAATCAGGAACAATACAGTTAGTGTTCCTTTGAACCTGCATTCTCACATTATTGATTCTCTCTACTCTGCTGGGTTAATAAGAGCTCCTTGATTCTTGCGGCTATGAAATTCTGTAAGAATGTCTAATATTATATAAGGGAAAATAACACACAGTATTTAAGACAGGTATTAGAATTCAGGGATCTTCTCAGTTCCTTAAAATGAGATATTTTCATAAATAGATTTTAATCCAAGATTTTAGTCCAAGATTTTAATTCTGCATCTGTGGTGTTCCCAGAAAACCCTAAATTACTACTAATTCCCATGCTGAACTGCCTCCTGCCACCTTCTGCAGTAATAGCAAGCAATAGTAAGTAATTATGCACTTGCTTTTTTGGCAGCTTGTGGTAAAATAGTAAAATATAAAATTTCTCTTGCTTCTGCTTCCTTTTTAATATTTCCCTTTTCCATTTCACTCTCTTAGATCAGCTGTTGAATGATTTGGTGCATGTGACACTTACTGCAGGAGATCATCACCATTACAGGGTGACCTATTCTAGACCCACTGCTCAACTGTCTTTTACATTCTTTCCACGTGAATTACATTAAGTACTGCTTGAGGGAAAAGAACATACCCAACTGTGACAGATAATCAGACAGAATGACAGAACCAGGTGCACTTAGCAATGTTCCTGAGTGCCAGTACCAAGATAGCAGTATACTGGTTCTGATTCCTAAGCAAGATGGAGGAAATAGTTTAGGAAACTAAGAAGAGATCATTTTTACTATGCAGGCTAAGGGAGACGGATGGAGTGGATGTAAACAGAAAGTGGTAAGATTTTGACTTCTAGTATTCCTTCTATTCTATTAAGACAACAAAAATGTTTATATATTTATATATCCGCCATACTTAAAGGAACATTTGCTAGATGGTATTTCTATTTAAAAAGGAAATTATGGAAGATCAATTTTAATACAAAGACTTGCAAAATTCAGATTGGATTTATATCAATAATGGAATCCACTTACGCCATCAGAACTACATAGGATGGTGCAAATGGAAGATGGATACTATAGCAAAATACTTAAATCTAGTACCATGGCCTGAAAGTCACAAAACCTTGGCTCTTATAACATTTGGGGGTGTAGGGAGGGAACAGAATTAAATCCTAGAGTTAAAGACCCTCTCTGAAGAACACCTGCCACCTGCTCTTTCCCATTTAAACTAGGAGGTGTGTTAGCTCAAGCATCTCAGTTACTGTAGTGTTACAAGAGGAAAGAAGCATTTTCATTTTATGTTATAACAAGACTTCCTCTAATTATGGACTGTTTTCAGTTGCTTCTAACCGAAACACATTTTAATGCAGGCTGAAATGCTTTATGCTCAATCCTTGTTTTAAGTTAATTTCTTTTAATTTCTGAGCAAAAAATGGCATAAATATTTCAAAGATCAAAGTTCATAAAACTGTTTATCCTTTTACCAGTGTTATATTCCGAGACTGTTTCTGAGCAACTCTACAACCTTCATGCCCTGGAGCAGGATTTTGATACTGAGTTAATTGGGTATTGCCTGAGACTAGAGGCATGCCTTTCACTGTCCAGGTTTGGGCAAGCTGTATAACTAGCATTTGTCTAGGGTCTACATATTTAATAAACTATGTTGAAGACTGAGCTCAGCTAAGCTCTCTGCATATATTCTGAAGCTGTCAAACAGAAAGAGACCTTCAGACAAGATGAACCCTCCTGTGCTTTCTGTTCCTTCCACCCCTCCCATAGCTTCCAGACTCACATCACCTTGGTGGTTTAAATAATTCTGGCTACTTCACAAGTCTTATTGCTGAGGAAAGCCTCATATGTCTGCTTTGGAAGAAAGCAAATATCTGCCACACTTTTTACCAAAAGGAACAATAGATAGTTGTCCAAGGTTGTGTTGTGACTAGAACCCAGATCTCAAATACGGCAGAAACAACCAAGCCTCAGCCACTTAAAATTAGACTCCAGACCAAAGTCATTTGTAACAACAGCTGTTAGTCGGTGCCAGCCCATTTTGTCAATATCTATCTGACCAGCTTTCAAAATGCTCAAAGCAAGATTTTAATGCAACTGTGCAGAGTTTGCTTTCAAAATTACACTGCACCATTTCACAAGCCAGAAATGTTTATGGCTACCAAAAAATTGCTCTCAATTAATAGCAATAGCAATAGGGACTAATTGTAATAAGCTTACTCCCCATGTTTGACCTTTCATATATTCCCAAGCAAGGAATTTGTACAGGAATAGAACTAACCATGGTCCTCTTTTTCCAAGTATTTCAATCTGACACACAGTACTATAAGCCTGTGACTTCTATAAGCCCGAGATCAACATGGTCATACAACATAAACTATGATGTATAGTTTACATTCATTGTAAAAAATAGGTGAGACTGATGCAAATCATAAGTCTGTAGAATTTGGAGTTGTTTCCATTTCCAGTCATTTGCTGTCACATTTATACATCATTTATGGTATAGAATAAAATTAAGTTCTGGCTTACTGAAGAGAGAGAAAATCCCCCTCAAACTCCCTGATTCCCAGCACAAACTTACTGCAGAGAGACATCCAATGAACGTACCTATGCTGTTTTGCTTCAGAAACTCCTAGTCTCCCCTTCAGGCAACCAGACAAACACTCTATAAATTCCAACTTGCATGTTTTGAAACTTCAGTCCCAGTGGTTCGGTTTATGATACTTTAAATACCTACTCCAGTTTCTCAGACTCACACACCATTAATGCTGCTCTCTAGGAGGTACGACATCAATACTTTCTTCTTCCAGTGGTAACAATCATGTTGGGGCCTCGAGTTCTCCTAAGGCAACATCCGTGGTAAACACCATATACCAAAAAGAAAAATTCCTAGGTTTACATCCCACACACATTTTCTAATCCATCTATTTATTAGCATATACATAATAATATAGTATTTTTTTCTGTAACGTCTTCAGCAGGGTGGAATTAGTAAACCTATCTGACCTTCTAAGTAAAAGCTTGTTTGCTTTGATTAATGATATGAACAAGACCTGAAAAAGTCTTTTCTAGCTCAGCGACTCTCCTTTCTCTTCTTCTGTCCAACTTTAATCTAGCTTGAATTCGGGGGCAGGGAAATGGGACATGGACAGGGACAGAGAGAGACACAAATAATTCTATATCAAGTGTGATTTCCATAAAGAATCAATTTCCTTGTGCGTAGGCAGTTCAGCCTCTTGACAGGGCTGAAAAGGTCCTTTAGGCCTATGCAACCTAGTTGCCTTGACCTAAATGGGCTAGAATGCAGTCATGGAGTTAGCGTACACCACAGTCTATGTTACTGTGTGACCTGTTTTTCTACAGAGAGGGGTCTGATATAACTTGTTTTTCTGCAAAATGTCTGATAAAAACACTTGCTATGGATAAAAGGGCTTGTTATGGTGCATCCTAGCCATATCTGGTGCCAAAAGAAGGGAAAACAACAATAAAGCAGAGACATAGCTCAGGTTGGTGATGAAAAACAGAAAACTAGCTTAATTGGTTGCTACATGATTAAAGTATATTACCACCTGCACAAAGGAAGCCGCATCCCGTTCCCCTCATCCTAACGATGCCTGAGAGTTGAGGACATCTGATCTCTCTTCAAGGAACCAGCCTTCTCCGAGATGCCTGGCCAGCTCTCGAGGAGTGTATTATTCGGACTGGTAATATACAATAACTTGCTTACTAAGATGATATCTATATGGATGCCTGAAGTTAATATTTTATAATGCTCAATAAAACTAATGCATTAAAGAATTAACTGGGCTCTCATTTGGAGAAAGCTGAAGCATACTTTAAGGTAATATCAACCCTGCAGTTCTCTCCATTTGGGAGGAGAACCAGTTCTCCCTGGTTCTTAAGGCAACACTTGAGTCAGAATTTTCCATCACAATTTTAGTAATACATCCAAAGGCTTTCATTGCAATGGCTTACGTTCCACTGGAAGAATTTACAATGGCTTTCAGGTATACTTTATTTTGAGGGGAGATCTAGGATTTTGAAAGGGGGGAGGGGTGCAGATGGTGTGGTGCATCATTAGATCTAACATAACCCATTTTTTCCAGTCAAAAATAAACTAGAAACTACTAATATGCAAAGAGCCTAGAACTGTATTATTCAGTTTAAGATTGAAGCAAAAACAAATATAACTTCACTGCAGTGAGTTAAAACCAGTCTGCAGGGATGTGAAATAGGATCTTTATTACAAGGACCAGCTAATGACCCTCTTTTTAATGGTTTTGATAGTATACTAATCGTTAGGGCTGTGCAAAATGGGAGCTATTTGATTCAGATTTGGCTTGAATTGGGGACAGTGATTCAATTTGTTGATTCGGATCACTGTCCCTGGATTCAATTCGGCCAAATCTGAAGATTTGATGCTGGATTCAGACACAGCTTTAAAAGGTTTTTTTTCTACATACTTGGAGGTACCAGTGTGACTCGTGATCGCTGCTGCACATGGAGCATCCCACAGGAGCATGGAGAGCTCTCCAGCATGCTCGGTAGGGAACCCAGAAGCAGACCAGAAGTACTTCCGGCCCACTTCTGGGTCTGCCAGGGAGCACGCTGGAGGGTTCCCCATGCCCCCCAGCTCAGCAATCAGCTGGGGGGAGACCTTGGGTGCCCCCCCACCCCAGGAGGCTCCAGTCACGGAGCGGGGGGGGGGGGGGGGGGGACGGTGCGCGCGGTGGGGGGGGCCTGCACGCTCCCCGGTGGACCAGAAGTGCTTCTGGTCCACTTCCAGGTTTGCTGCCAAGTGCGCTGGGGAGCCCCCCCTGCTTTTGTGAAATGCTGCATCTGCCCCAGCTACCTAGAGTTACATAGAAAAAACATTTAAAAGCTGTATCTACATCCAAAGCGATTCGGAGAGATTAAAGGGTTCTCCGATTCGATTTGGATTCAGAGATTTGGCCACTGAATCAGGCCAAACCTCCGCCGAATCGAATCGGGGACTGAAGCTTCGCACAGTCTTACTAATCATACTATCCTTTGTTCTGTAATTCTGCTGTCTGTTAAGTCAATTGAATTCAATTGACTCCCTCAGATGCCGGTCTAGAAGTGCTGCTGCCACTGCCTGGCAGTTTAGTTTTAAACTTTGGGTGGACCTGGAATCAAAGGAGAGAGGGTGCAACTACCCCAGTGCACTCCCTCCTGGATCTACCCCTGCTTTATTGTACTGTTTAGTTCACCGACCTTTGGCCATGATGAAGGACATGCACACACAGACACCCCCACTCACCTGCCCACCCATGCCAGCAAACAAGAGACTTTCATAAAAATCAAGAGAACAACAAACTACAAGAAAGGATAGAAAAGAAGGCAAAGCATATAAAGTAACATGGCTCATGCTTTTTTGGTCCAAACTCCAAGCAGAATTTGATAATTACTGTTGTCTTCAAAATGCAGGCATTACCATATAATAAGCATGGATGTATATATCCATATCTGGCACTGATTAGAACTTTTTCTTACTATCCAAGGTGAGAAAGTACTATTTCTTATGGGGGTAAAATGCAGGGAAGATGCACATCTATCATAACATGGAAGAATGAAGCCCTATTATCAGATTTGCAGTCTCTATCTAAATTACTCCATACAGAAAATTCTGAGAACTGGATTGTAGAGCTATCAAAGATGGACATCAGTAATTGCATTTATCACCCCTCCTCCCCCCCCAAAAAAAGGAAAAAAAAAAAAAAGAAAATAGGTGAAGAGAAAAGCAGCATTTTTCTATGGGCAGCTCAGACGAAGGTGAATCTTTGGGCCCAGTACATAGGGCTAAAATAGATATCAGACCAATTTCCCTAGGTGAGAGAGCTAATGTTTCATGTATGCCAATCCATGTGTTTCCCCCTATGATCTAAAGTACCATATTTTCTTACATACCATCCACCCCCAAATAAGACACTAAACTTTTGGGGGAAGGCAGAATGTAGAAACTTTTTTCCAGAGTCATGGTCAACTCTGTAACAGAGTAAGTCTTTAAAGAAACATGGTGTCCAGGAAGCATGGCATCTCAGCAGACAATCTAGGTGATGCAGCAGGAACTTCCTGGCATGGCAGTACAGTAACAGGGCTAAGCCCCAGACCCTTGCAATGAGGGTAGAAAGACTATTACTTCTTTTCTGTAAATAGTTTTTGATGAAACTAAAATTCTATAAATAATAAAGCATTTTTTCACCACACCAGAAGCCTCATCAAGATACTACAGCCTGCATACAGTAGCTCACTTGCCCTGAACCAGCTGAATTACTGCTTCAGGCACAAGCTATAGTGCTCAGCCAATAGGCACTACAAATGCCTTAGACTGAGGCAGTGAGAATTATCTCTAGATCTTCTACCCCTGATGCTTAAGTCATAAGAAGGGGCAGCTATTAGAGTACAGCCTCTCCATGCATTTATTCCAGAAAAGAAAAATCAGTTTTTCCATTTAAGATACACAACCCAGTGTTGGAGGACTGATTTTGAGGAAAAATATGAGTGTGGTGTTCTAAAGCATATAGTATCTGATAAAACAGAGTTATAACAAAATGCATGTCCTACACTTCATAGCCTTCCATGGCTAAATCTCTGGCAGGATAGCATGAATACTTTTGGGATTATTTCTGAAAAATATTTTCCCCCTGAACACTAGTCCTAGAGCAGTGATTAGAAAGAAAAAGCTCAATTCTATTTCAATGTAGTTGATTCCCACATTATTGCAAGGTTCCCCCAGCTAACATGAAATAGAAGTTCCAGCAGGTAGTGAAATAATTGTTTAATGTGCTCAACAAGCAGTCACCAATGGCTCAATGTCCAGTTGGGAGGAGATATCCAGTGGGGTCCTGTGGCAAGCTAGCTCTGATGGGCAACAGCAGCACCCCTAACTGACAGACTAGCCTGCCCCACTCCTCCATACTGCTGCCCATTGTCTCACCTAGTATGCCTTGATGTATCAAGTATCTCTGTGGGAGACTCCCAGAGTCCTGGAAGGGTGCTTTGCAGTGTTACCTTGATCTGGGCTTCCTTTACTAGAATGGTAAAGTTCAATCAAGCTTGACAAAACTCGACATACTTCAGCTATGGACCAAAATGATCTTCAATTGCTTTAAGGTTTTTAATTGTGGTCTCCTCCATAGCCATACCCTGCCTTGCAGATATCCCTCTGCCAACGTTTCTCCATAGAGCTGCCTAGCCCAATGAGTCACATCTGTCTAGGCTTTGACCCTTGTGGTTTTGGACTATTTATTCTGACTGCAGCCTTCCGCCATGGCCCCAAATTTTAGCTTTGGCTCTTCAGCAGCAGCCACTCTGCTAGGGCTTTAAACCCTGAGGATTAGGTTCTATCCTCTGTGTGTCCGCTGGCCTTATTGATCAGTGGCACAGTCTTCCCTGGGCCCTTGGCCCTCACCAAGTTAACTTTTCCCTCTTTCTTTTGATGTTCTGGTCTAAAAAGGATTAACCTTACAGGATGCTTTAAAGCACCTGCGATACAGCCTCCAAGCCTCTCACACAGCTGCCCCCACTCCTCTAGTGGTTACCCTCAGAATCACAACACAACACAGCCCTTTCAGGTACACACAAAATAAACCCCAATCCAAACTCAAATCTTCCCCCCTCTGCATCAACTCACCACATTTAGAAAAGGCTTCTTCACCCTTGTTCATCATGGTTCCCCTTACTGGGACACTAAATGCCATGATAGCCTTCCTGCGAGCTTTTCATCCTTCCCTAGCCAGGGCTAGAGGGAATGCCTCTGGCCTGAGGGCAAACCTTTCAGTCTGAGTAGAAGGGTTTCTTATTATTCTGTGCAGTCCTACCAGCTGTTTCCCTTGGCCTGCAGTCTCTGATTAGTTCCAACCCACCTGTGGCAGGGTTGCTGGTGATTGTAGGTACCCTGTCTCTTTTCCCTTCGCTGCCTGCTGGGGCTTCTCCCTAATAGTATTATTGTCTGTCCCTGGAGCTATATTTTCGTTTCCTGAACTCTTATCTCTTCTGGCTACAGAAATGCTACTTTTAAAGGGTCCTTGCATATTTTGTTTACCCCACAGACTTTCCCTAGTAACAGGACAAGGATTTCCTGTTACAGGTTCTGCAGAGGTCTGTCCTGGGTCCTGTATTGTTTAATATCTTAATTAATGTTTTGGATGATGGGATTAAGCTCATGCTTAAAAAAATTGTGGTTGATATCAAGTTGGGTGGAGCTGCAGACACTTTGGAGGGCAGGGCTAGGACCCAGAATGACCTGAATAGCCTGGAGCAATGGTCCACAAGCAATCTGGCTAAATTCAGCAAGGACAAATGTAAAGTCCTGTGCTTGGGAACAGAATAATTGTATGCACAAATACAGACTAGGGAATGAGTGACTATGCTGCAGTACTGCAGAGAAGGACCTAGGGCTATACTAGACCATAAACTGAATATGAGCAACAGTGCACTCTTGTTGCAAAAAAGGCCAACAAGTATAGTGGGTTGTATTAGCAGGAGTGTCAGTTGCAAATCAAGGGAAGCGATTCTTCCTCTTTATTAAGCACTGGTGAAGCCTCACCTGAAGTACTGTGTCCAGTTTTGGGCCCCACATTCAAAGAAGGTTATTTAGTCCAGAGAGGAGAATATTGAGGGTGGGGAATTTCATAACAGTCTTAAAATACCTGAAGTGCAATATAGAGAGAATGGAGATGGGCTTTCCTCTGTGTCCATAGGGAACCACGATGAATGGTTTCAAGCTGCAATAGAGGATGTTTAGATTGTAGATAAGGGTGGTGAGAGCTGGATGAGATGAGAAGCCAGAAGAAGGGGAATTGGGAATGGCTGATCAAGGTGATGGGGATTGGGAGTGAATCACTGGAACTGGGATAGGAATCTATAATCCTCCTACTGAGGATGGAAACAAAGACTAGCATAAGAAACCTGAGAGCAGAGGCTGGGATTGTCTTCAAGAGGGGAATGGAACTGGAATGAGGAGCCAGAGGGGAAAAGGGACAGGACTGAGACAGAAATGAGCTGGGAGACTCACACAGATTACTGCAGCACAAAGAGCCATGGTGTATCCCCAGTGATGTTTTTGCAATATCTACAGCTAAATACAGTTCCAGTGAGTTTCAGGGAGACAGCAGTTCAGATATGGCTTTTGCAATTAACTCTGGATCTCAGACCAGGGTTCTGATCACCTGAGTTAAGCCAGCACTGGAGCCATGCCTTTGGTGAACAGCTATTCATCGTTTTCCTTCTCATTCTTCAATGTTTGGCAACATGCATTGTTTTCTATTCAAATCCTGCTCTCAAGACAGAATTACTGATTTCCCTTGTGGACTCTTCCACAGCACACATTACCATGGCATCTAGACGTTTCACAAATTCCTTTCACAGCACCTCAGGAAGCCAGGGAATGTTATTATTCCCCATTTTACAGTGGGGCATTGACACCAAGAAATTAAGGTCAATGGGACTTATTTTGGGTACCCAATTTGAGAACCCAAAGACTTTTTCAGGGTACTTGGTATTATACAACACCTTATATATTTAATGCCAGGCTCCCACTGAATTCAGCTGTAGCCATGAACTATCAGACAAAAGGGGCAAGGGGGTGGCCACATCCCCACCCTCCCCACAGGGAGCCTCTCCAGGGAGGCACCCTGCCCCCCCCCCAATGCTGCTGCTGCACCCCAAGCTTGCCCCTGCTGCATGTGCCCCAGGCAGTGCATGATGAGCTATCTGTGCAGGCGGAGGAGTGCCTGAGCCGCTACACCCTCCTGCTGCTGCTGATCCTCCCGGTGCCCTGCAGAATGGGAGGCAAGCCCGGGCTGCCCCGCAACCTCCACCACGGCCTGGAGGGCTACCTGTGGCAGCGCTAAATACTCCTGCTGCCGAGGAGGACATCACTGCTGGTATCAATGACTTCCTCAGGATGTGAGAGACCCATACCCACCCAGATGTGGGACCCGAGCTGCTCAGTAAAGTACTGAACTGTGTCCTGCCTCTCTGAACACTGGGGGAAGACCACCCAGGTCAAGGGAGTGTGGCAAGGTGAAGCAGGGATCAGGGGCAGGGGCTGGGGCCAGAGGCAGGGGTGGGGACTGGGAGGATCCTCCGCCAGTGCAGGACTTACCATGTGTCCAGAGCTGGTGAGGCTTGCGGCTCAGCACAGGCCTGCCTGTTGGCATGGACAACTGGCTATGCCCAGTGCCCATGGCCCATGGTGTGCAGTGGGCCAGTGCCTGGCCAGGGCCCCCCCCCCAGAGAGGAGCTGGTACTGCTGTTGGCCAGCAGTGACATTATGGCGGGGCTCATGGTGGTGGGGTCTAGGGCTGCACTGAGGGTGAGGTGGCCACTGGCCAGGGCGCCCTGAGCTGTCAATGGATCCAGCATCTGGGGAGAAGGGTGGAACAGGGCACTAAAGGCCTGAAGGCCTCTCCTCTGGAGAGGTGTCACCACCGAGGGGTCAGGGCAGGGTGGGAGCTTGGGCAGGCTGCCCCTGCTGGTGCCACTCACAGGGGTGCAGTCTGGGTCCCGGGGCACCAAAATGAAGGTCAGCTCCCACATAAAGGCCATGGTCTTCCAGGCATGATTGGACCAATAATTCTAGTCAGTCACAGCCAACCACTGCATCTGCAAGCCTTGACCTTAATGCAGCACTACCGCACTGACCGTGAGTGCCCTTGCTTCCACGTCCTGCCTGACAGGGCCTCATAAATGTGAGCGTTCATGCACCTGCCCTGCACGGACTTCCTTTGTACGTCAGCATGGCTCCAGAGCGCCACGAGGTCACCAATCTCCTCCCAGGTCCAGTTGGGGGCTTGGGCAGTCGGCACAGGTGTGCACACGCAGATGGGGCTGGGACTAGACAGGGAGAATGACAGTCTCATCCCGTGCCAGCTCTCTGGGCCCCCACACGGTGTCCCTGTATGGTCAGCCCTGGACAGCGCTCAGGCATGCTCAGCAGAGGTGTGCGTGGCCCAGGGCACAAAATGGCTGCAGGCTTTTATACCCTGCAGCTAGTGCCTGGCAGAGAGCAGCGCAGCCCTGGAACAGGAGAGGTGGCCAGCCAGAAGCCCTGGGGCTGGGCTCAGGCCGACCCCCTAGTGGCTGGGCAGACCCAGCACTAAAGTTAGACTAGGGTCATGTCTACATGTGTATTACTGCACATTACCTGCATTTGCAGGTATCAAGTTTTGTCATGATTAGCCATTGTTACTGTGGAGTAAGGGCACACATGTGTAGGTGTGCACCTGTACTGCACAAATTAGGCTAATGTACATTAACAAATTAGCAAATTAGGCTAATGTACATTAACATATCTTGTGTAGCTGTGCCCTAAGTGTCTTGAGGCCTAGGTTTGCTACAGGATCAAAATCTGAAAAGCAAGATCAGACCAAGAATACCATTAGAAAGAGTAGGCAATAATTCCCAGGCTGTGCTACTCTTGGAGCCCAGTTTGCTATCCAGTAGAGTAATAGCAGCTTCAAATAGCCTATAGATTCAGGAACTAATTGCACCTTCAATATTGAAAGAACAGTTTTTATTCCAGTTCCTTTCATTCATTCACCACTGCATAATACCTCCAGTGACCTGAGATAAACTTTACCATTTTTGAATGACAATACCCAGGATAAACTCCTCCTTTTCTTTTCTTCATGGTTATTACTTATTAGACATAGTTATGATCAGGGATCCTGGTTTTCTCTGTTTAAAAATTGCATATTCTATGATTTAAAAAGCAGCAAAATCCACATTTTTCCATGATTAAAATGACACACCGCTATATATATATAGGTATCAGTTGAACAGTGTTTTCTTGATATATTTACAATTTGAATCCTACCAGTGTCTCAATCATAAAATAAAATAAAGTCTAACTATCTATACATTTTGGTGTTTGAATTTGGGGTTTTGATCATGGAAAATCAGAGCTCTCCCACCCCCTTTGCTCACCAGGACAGGGGTCTAGTTGCGGTTGTCCCCCCCACTGCTTTGTGGTTTGGAGCAGCCCTGATATGCTGATGCTCTGCCAATGTCATTGTCCCTCAGTCCCCACCCACAGCCCCCTGGGCACTGCTGGTGCCCCTCTCTCCCTACCAACAGCCCCCCACCCCACAGACCTGCTGGAGGGAGCCCCCAGCTGCTAGGGCTATGGAGCCAGGGACCCAGGTCTGCAGCCCCCACCTCCTGCAGTAGTGGACAAGCTTTGGATGACACATGTGGGAGTCAGTGGCTGCTGCAACAGAGTGGAGCATGGCTCCCCATCTCCCATGAGCAGCATGGCTGGAGTGGAGCCCATTGTGGGGGAGGATGTGGCTGCCCACTTCACGTTAGGGTGAGGGGGACTGGCTCCCCACTGCTGTGTGCACTCTCAGGGTGAGGCATGGGAGACATGTGCTCCCCTGATTTGTGTGTGGGTGTAGCATGAACTGAACTAATGTAGCTGATGTTAACATAAAGTGTAATAATAGTAAAACATAACCATGTTAGTTTTGTCCTGTAAGCAACTTGAAAACTCCATTTTGTATCCTTCTGCTTGACATAAGTGAATGAACTCTGCCTAGACTTTATGTATGATTGTGTGTAAAAGGATGAATGGTGAGAGAATTGCATAGAGATGGGAAAAGAAGATTTAACTGTTTATGTAAGCAACAAGGCACCAAATGTAAGTTACCAGCCAGTAACTAACTAACAAACGGCTGAACAATCCCTGTGAAGCTCAAGGGCACAAAGAAGATAACAGAAGAAGAAATTCTGCCAGACGGGCAACAAGAACACTTCAAGGCTAAGATAAGCTGAAGACAAAATAACAACCACAAAAACAGAAGCTGGGTATAGAAAAGACCCAAAGCACTGAAACAAAGGATGCCAATCCCTATAAAAGAACACTTTGAAAATGCCAAGTTGAATGAGTCTCTTTCTCAACTGCACAGATGCATCTGTTCACCCCACTCCCGCTGTTATCTTTAAATCTGCTATCTTCAAATCATCACCATCTACTCAATAAGCCTGCATTGGCCACCCTGGGCTGATATTGAGCAACTGTTGCTGGTAACTATATCTGGTGTATGTGTGGATGAAATGGTTGTTATGTGTATGTGTATGCTTGTGTGTAATGATGTGTATGATGATTTGTGTGTGTTTGTATAAATGGTGTGTCTGAACCTCTATGTCTAACTCATTTAATCAATAAACGTGGCAACTTGCCTTATCCCCCTTTATAAAGTCTTGCTTGTGATTTGAGCAATTGGCAATTTGTGTAACATGGGGTGGGTGTGGGCTGCAGGCTAGGGGCTCCCTGCCCTGCTGCCCTCCCCTCAGGGCCTCCATGGCCCAGTGGGCAGGATCTGGTACGGCAAGACAGAGCAGGGCCGGGCACTGCTACCGTGAATCCCGCGGCACCATGGCAAGTCACCCTTTATGCCGCCACCCCTGCTGATACCAGGTGGGCAGGGGGAACCTTGCCATGGCAGCATTAGGTTCATAGCAGCAGCATCAAGCTTCCCCATACAGTCCCACTTTGCTCTGCCGCAATGGGTCCTGCCCACCAGGCCATGGAGGCCCCCAAGGGGTCCAGCAGGGCAGGGAGCCCGAGCCTGCAGTGGAAAGCTTGCACCTGCTCTGTGCAAATCTGCGGGGCATGTGCCCCCCATATTCCCCTGGGAGTGCACGCAGTGGTGGGGAACCAGTCCCCCAACAATGAACCATCTGTCAGCTCCATCCTGCTCCTTGCCCAAGCCCTGTGACTGCACATTCTGGCCTTGGGCCTCAAGCCCCACACACTGCCCAGGCTGGGCAGCATCCTCAGCCCCAGCCCTGCCCAACTCCCTCCTTCCCTCCCCCACTATGGGGGCCTCAATTCCCCCCCACCCTTCCCCCATGCTAAACTTACCTCCAGGGAGCTGCTCTCCAGGGTGCCTGGCGGCCATATGTATGTATATGTGTGCATGTGCACATGGTGCCCCCTGCCTCATCACCTTCCTCCCACTCCCCTAGCCCCTTGCAGGCTGGAACTCTACCAGCCTGCAAGGGGAAACCCACCATTTCCCACGCTTTTCTCCTTGAAAGGAGAAAATCTGTGTTTTACCACAGTGAACATAAAACCCGGATCCCTGGTCATGATGCATATAAGAACACAAGGAACATGATCTGGCACCCACTGGAGACAATATGCACCTTTCTAGTTTCTACAGTGGGCATTGGACTGGACCCTCAAAATAAGGGCAGGATTTGTCTCATCTGCTGAAAACTAAAGCATCATCATGGCTATATGCCCCCCAAGAAAGAAATATACCCAGGACATAGTTCAATAAAGTTAGTTGGCAATAACCATTAGTCCACCAAAATGCAAGACTGGTTTTGTGCTATCAGTGCAGGCTGCTGTCTATCCCATATGCCTTCCCTAACTAAGGAAGGGATGCACCTCACAGGTGTCCCTAGACCTTTAAACTCTGAATCGCTAACTAGCTGCCAGTTGGCTATTTACAGTGGAAGATAAACACGT